TCACCCTTGCAACCAGTGAAGCATCCCATTGAAACCCATGCACAGTAACATCGCAAACCCCTCTGAAACATAGGAGCCAGAATGATCAATTCATTGATCGTGGGCCCTCAAAATAAAGAAGAAGAAGAAGTTAATCGATTTTTTTGCCCCCCCCCCCACCTAGAAAGTTTTCTGCGGGCGCCCATGTATATACCTGTATACATGTACCGCAATATCCTGCAATACAACCAGCTAAAAATTTCCACTAAAACTTTTTTGAAATATTATTTATTTATTTATTACCAATACGGTTTTTTGACTCGAATGACGTATCTGTATGTGCCTTAACATATCCAGATTATCAAATATAGCATGCGTAGCGATATTTCATTCATTCCACTATTTCACCAATTGTAATCGTTGAAAATCACCCTTAGTACTATTTCTTAAAATAATTAAATACTTTCTCTCTACTCGCATTTCCAGCTTGTGGGGCATAATCTTAAGTGCAGAGCGTAATTTATTTATGTAGGAATGTAGGCTACACATGTGAGATTTTAAGACTTTCTGGTGCAGTGTTCACGTGCTGAACTGCTGGAAAACAGGGTCGACAGTTGCGGATTGACACCTGTGCTCAAATCATCGTGGTGGACCGCGACTGCGTCATTGAGTGAACGGGTGGCTGAGTGAATTAAGATCTACGATTTAGTTTTATGCCTAGGTAAAAGAGTTAAGTCACTTTAACCTGGATTGTGTAAGCATTCGATGTTTACAAAAGTACATGATTATACGTGTGTTGATAATAATATAAAGATTACATGATTATACTTGTGTTGATAATACTATAAAGATTACATGATTATACTTGTGTTGATAATAATATAAAGATTACATGATTATAATTAAGCAAATGTATTTTCAAAAAGGTAAAACGCACTAAAAAGTTGAAAATAGGTTTAAATTTCTTAAAAGTGCAGAAAATTATTTTCAAAATAAAACATTAAAATTTTGTTACCATTTACTATTTTAGTTCGGAGCCTTTGGCTTCATAGAGTGCTCATCTACACTTACGCCAATAAAGTCTACACTTACGCCAATAAAGTCTACACTTAGCCAATAAAGTCTACACTTAGCCAATAAAGTCTACACTTACGCCAATAAAGTCTACACTTAGCCAATAAAGTCTACACTTACGCCAATAAAGTCTACACTTAGCCAATAAAGTCTACACTTACGCCAATAAAGTCTACACTTAGCCAATAAAGTCT